CCGAGGGCGCTCCGCCCGCCGCCGCGACAGCGCGCCAGGAACCCGCCGCGACCCGGCGGCCTCGGTTCTGGCAGCACCCTGTGTTTTGGATGACCTTCAAAAACGGAGAAGACATATAAGCGTGGGCTTGCGAATGCCACGCCGATCCGAGAAATCCGCGCGTGATTCCGTCCGCGTATGTTTGTGCCTGTGTTTGTTTCTTGATCGGAGCACGCGTTAGGGGCAACGTGCGCGCGTCAACCGAGGCACTTCGGAGCAACACAGGCGGCGCGCAACACGGACCACCGAAGGTTGCGCGCCGTCGGAGGACATGAGCAGGGCAAGAGAACCGAACCTACCTCGGCCGCGCCGCGCCAGCTCTGGTCCTACGGCGAGGAGGAGGAGGAGGAGGAGCAGCAGAAGGAGGAGGAGGAGGGCGGGGTCCGTAGCCATTTTGGCTCAAGTCCGTAGTGCCTCGGCACAGGACCTGGCTGTTTTGGCAAGGGGGAAGGACGGCCCCCACAGTTTCTCCTCGTTGCCTGTCAGACGAGGTTTGTTTCCCTTCGCGTTCATTCAGTGAGCTCCTGCTGGAGCAACGACGTCCCAGCCAGGTCAGCGCCTGGCTGCAGGTCGCCGATGGCCCCCAGTTTCGTCTGTGATCCTTGGGCGCGCAGGCCTTCGGGCGAGCCTCAGCAGTGGCACCGCGACGGCGAGGTGCTCAGCAAAGCCCCTTGCCCTCACTGCGGCTGCAAGAAAAACGAGAAGCACTTGAGATTATGCAAGCACTGTCTGCAGCCATTGGAACAAGTGAAAAGAGCGAGTACGTTTCCCAACTCAGGGACTTCTTTTGGCACTGCAGGACTTCAGCAAACCTGCACGTATCCTCGACGCTTGAGCGCGTTGTGCCATTGTCTGCAGCCATTGTCCTTCGCGGCTCCGTCAGCCCCCCCCGCGGCCTCGGGCGCCTGGGCCAGCAGGCCCCCCATCGGCGCCCTCTGCGCCCTGGGCGACGGCGGCACCGCGGGCGCACGCGGCTCCCAGAACACCATGGGCGGCAAGGGCGGCAAGTCTGGCAAGGGCAAAGGCAAGGGACAAGTGGACGGCCAGCCACCAGCTTCGCAGCCACCTGGCCCAGGCAAGTCAGCGACCGAGCCCAGAACGCCTGGACTCCAGCTGGGCGACTCGGCATGGCTCCGCTCGGCCGCAAATCACTCCTGGACCAACTACTCCAAGGATGACGTGCCAGTCTTGTTCAGCCCGGCTGCAAATTTCCAGCGCATCGGCGACACGCACAGCGCAGACCTGTACAACCGCTACGCCAGCCAGCTGCAGATGGCCTCGGTGCCCAAGCCCCAGACAGCGGGGGCGGCTCAGCACGCCATGCGAGAGTCTAGGAAGTTCTTGGACAAGAAAGTGCGCGCTGCAGAGTCCCTCAAGCAACAGTTCCACAACGCGGAGAAGGCAGCCATCAACGCCCTGTCCGACTTCGAGGAGTGCCAAGCCAACTACCACAAGGCTGCGCGTAGCCTGGCGGAGCATGTGCCCCCTGAGGGCGCGGGCGCGGCGGCGGCCCCCACAGCCGCGCCCCGCACCCACAGCCTCAGCCTGGAGCGCCTACTGGACGAACATGCCCCAGCAGAGATCTTCGCTGACGACGACCTGTTCGGGCTGGAGGCGGAGGGCGCGGGGCTCTCTGACCACGAGCGCGAGGAGGTTGCTCGGCGCAAGGCGGAGGTCGAGGACACCATCAAGCGGGTCGTTGCAGAATCCTTCGGCCAGGTCAAGCAGAGGGCCAAGGAGCTGGTCGACGAGCAGCGCGCCTTCCGTGCCCGCATGCAGCTCAAGCGCCGCAAGGTCGGCGATGACGACGAGGGCGACAGAGATGCAGCTGGCGGCGACGCGCCTGCCACCCCAGGCGCGGCAGCGGCAGCTGCCCCCGCGGCCGCCGAAGCCCTTGCGGCCACACCTGCTGCAGCCCCAGGCCCGAGGACCCCCTTGGCCCCATCGGCAGCTGCTGTGGCCCAGGCCAGCGGCATCGCCCAGGACTCGACCGCCGAGAAACGCCCAGCGGATGCGATGGACTCTGCTGAGCACAGGATGCGGTTCGACATGGCCCTCGCAGCTTCAAGAGATACAGCCGAACCTGGTCATTCGCAGTCAGGACTTTAGCCGCCTTCGGCAGCGGGCGACTACGTTCGGGACTTCGATGTCGACGTCCTCGACTTGGTCGCCACACTCACCTGCCATGAGACCGCTGAGACCCCCCCCCCCCCGACGAAACCCTAGGTAGGCCGGCGTCCCCGCGGCGCTGGGACCGCCTGGTGGGACCCTGGGGCAGGGAATCGGTGCGAATATGGCAGGCAGAGGGCGCCACATGTTCGCGGTACGGCTTGCCTCGTGATACTTCTTCCACGTGGACTACCACGCCAGGTTGGGGGCAGCCCGAAATTGCCCCGATATTCCCACGCAGCACACGGACGACCTCGGCATCATCGGTCGCTCCGATTCTTCGACTTGAACAGCAACCCTGTCATCCTGTCCAGTCGCCGTCGGCAAGGGCGGCGCGAACATCATCTACTGCGAAGTCCGTGCCACCTTCGGCGTCGCCTACTCCTGTTTGCACAGGCCCCCGACCTGCTTGTGAGTCTGGTGGCGCGCGTGAGCAGGATACCAGCACGCCTGGCGCCCGTGCCAACCTCACTCTTCCCTCCTCGTCAGAGTTGAAGCGCGTGGTGTTTGATACGGCCAATACCACGTCCTGGGGATCTCTCTAAACCTACCTACCTGGGGCTATTGGGCAGTCACGGACGCTGTGAACCTCCGAACGTCGTCTATGCCAGAAACGCACGTTTCCAGCGGAAATGAAACGATTTTTGCTTGTTGGGGCCCTCTTGGAGGGCCTCTTGAGGTTCTCTTGGAGCTTCTCGGCGGCGTCCAGGGCCGTCTGGAGACCAGCGTGGGCGTCTTGGAGCAATCTTTCGGCGACTCGGCGCCCCTGGGACCGTCTCGGGGGCGTCTCGGAGCCTTCTCGGCACGTTCATGGAGCCGCCGTACGAGGGGGTCAACCAGCTAAAGAACATCGGGTGGAAATCTATTGTCAATCCCAGCATCCCCACCCTGAAGGGGGGGGGGGGGGCCTCAGCAGCGGCACAAGGATCGCAATACGACCACACATCCCCCTCGGTGCTTTGCCTCTTGCTCGTCCTCTTCCGCAGCCCGAGAGAGTCTGCTCGGCATGGGCCAACACTTTTGTCCCTGGAGGCCCGGCAGTCTTTTCGCTTTAGTTGGATTGCAACGATCCGCTGGGCCTCGACTCGTTCAGGATTTTGAACCGCATAGGCGAAGAGATCCATCAGCTGCAGATCCCATTAATCATTGGAGGAGATTGGGACACTCACCCTTCAATGCTACTCAACACTGGGTGGGTCGACCGTCTTGGAGGCACCATCTTGCACTCCAGCAGACCCACTTGCCGCAAGTCGGATAAGCAGTGGAGGACCATCGATTTCTTTGTCGTCTCGCGAGGCCTTGAGTCAGCCATGAGAAGGATCGATCGTAACGATGGCAGCACCACCTCGCCCCATTACGCCGTGTCCTTGGAGCTTGAAGGGAACCCCTTGGAGGCAAAGGTCAAGGTCCTGCAAGGGCCCAAGCCTTTCCCCAAGGAGCGCCCCATGGGCCCCTACCCTCCGCCTCCGTCTTGGACCCCCTGCAGCGACATCCTCGACAGACCCAATGTGGCCCCCGACGACCTGGACCAGGCTTACTTTCAGTTTTGCAAGCTTTTCGAGGCCGAGCTTAATTAAGGGCGCCCACAACGTCGATTTCCAGGACCGCACGTATTCTGGCAGGGCCTACGGGCTCAAGCTTAAGGAGGTTTCAGCTGTACGGACTTCTGGAGGTGATTACCCTGTCTCGAGTCCTGAAGGTCGCGCCTGGAGGAAGGTAGCTACCTGGTTTCTGGAGTTGGCGCACCTGCTTAGGAAGGACCACCCCGGGAACCACCCAGAGATCCTCTCGCTGGGCTCCAAGTTGGCCTCGGGCCCGCAGAAGCTCCTCGAGAACCCAGAGTGGAAGCACTTGCGCGCGCATGTCCATCTCCGCTCGATTGAGGTTAACAGGCTGTCGCAGTTTGCCGCAGCGTCCAAGCGCCAGGCTGACCAGTTCGAACGGCGCTTCCGCACCAAGAGGGCCAAGCAGTGGCGGACTCGGGCTGCGAAATCCCTCGAGGGAGGAGGCCCGGCGCACCGGTTCACCAAGAAGCCTCGTGGGTTCGCCCCTGACAACCCCAAGGGGGGCCCCCCACCAAGCCTTGAGGAGCAGATGAGTAGCCTGGAGGAGGAATGGAAGAAGATCTGGACCCCTGCCCCCCACGTCGCCAACCTGCCCGACCCCGCCCATTACCTCAGCCAAATTATTTTTCGGTCTGGCGAACAGCCTCTCGCTCAGGCGTCTCCTGAGGACATCCGCGCTGTTGCCAAGACCTTCAAGGCGCACACGGCCGCGGGGGCAGATCGCACCAGGCCGCGGGACTTGTTCCTGTTACCCAACGCAGGCTTGCAGTGCTTGGCGAGCATTTGGTTCCACATGGAGCGCCTTGGCCACATACCTGCCCCCCCCCCATCGCATCCTGCTCGCAATGATTCCTCGTGATGACGGGGGTCGTCGACCTATCGGAGTTTCACCAGGGAACATTCGCATCTTCGGCGGGCTATCTCGATTCGAAGCCAAGAGATGGGAGGAAGCTCACCCTCGATCGTATTTGTTCGGCAGCAAGGGCTTGTCGTGCGAGCGGGCAATTTGGGAGCAATCAGTTCGACTCGAGCATGCGCACATTTGCAAACATCAATATGCCCACACACCCTGGTCGACATAGCCAAATGCTATGGAAGAAAAAAAAAAAAAAAAAAAAAAAAAAAAAAAAAAAAAAAAAAAAAAAAAAAAAAAAAAAAAAAAAAAAAAAAACACTACCTCCTCGCGCGCTCGGGGATTAAGCACGGCTTCCGAGCACACCGACTTAGGTTCCTGCTCACTCTGTATCGTGGCAAGCGCTCGCTGCAGTTTGACATGCGAGTATCAGCAGATATTTACGTCGAGCAAGAGATCCTCGCGGGTTGCCCTTTCGCCACCACTCTCCTGTTCTGCTGTTTGCTAGACGTGTTGGACGACGCGGTCCGCCTCTACCCCAGCGTATCCCTCTACAATGTCGTGGATGACATCACTATCGGTGCTGTGGGTAAGCGTAAGCATGTGATTCACATGGTTCTGAGAGCCACCAAGTTCATCTGTTTCCAGCTTGAGGCCCTGGGGTTCACCATCTCTCCCACCAAAGGCATCGTCACGGGCTCGTCGGCCCAGATCGTCCAGGTCACCCGCGTGGGGCTCATGTTCTGGGACCTCAAGGGCACGGGGGCCACGAAGAACCTGGGCGTGGACTTCGCAGGGGCCCCCAAGCGCTCTACCAAGGTCCAGCAACGTCGTTGGCAATCCCTTCTCCCGCGCATCAGAAGGTTCCGTAGTCTCAAATCGACTTTCTCGGGCACGCACAGGGTCATCAAGACGGGTGGGGCCCCTGCGGCCTTCCATGGGGTCAGGGTCACTGGCACGGCCTCTACTCAGCTGGCCTCCCTGAGAGCCGCGATTTGAGATGCTGCTTTCGGCCCAGCCAGGGGCCGTGGCAGAAAGATCCAGCTCCTCCTCAACCAGGACCACAAGTTGGACCCGACCTACCAGGCGAACCAGCTCCCTCTAGGAATGTGGCACCAGGCTATCCAACAACGATGGCTTCCCAGGTCCATGCTCAGCAGTTGCTGGAAGCACTACCTGACCTCCAACTCCGCTGGCAAGTGGCCCAAAGTTCTCGGCCCCACTGGCGTCGTTTTGGCCACCTTGCCGCGCCTCGGGCGGGCGGGAGTGGAGTTCGACAAGTGGGACATCGTGGACGGGATCTCTATCGACCTTGCATCGTTTGGTAGGCACACGGTGGCCACCTTGGTCGAGCAGGCCACGTTCCGCCAGCTATTGCGACATGTTTCCGCCCCGAACGCTGCTGGCCAGTTTTGCCCGCCCCTCATCTCAGCGGTCCGAGAGGAGCCCCAGGCCCTTCGGAAAAATGATAACGTCGACGCTACCATCTTCCTGAGTGGAGTTGTTGCAGGAGGATACCCGTGCCAGCTGCAGTTGTTCGCTGACCGCCGCGCGTTGAACCCCAACTGTCTCCCCTGCGGTCAGGCCTCTGGGACCCCCAAGCACAGGCTCTACGAGTGCCCGGGCTTTCACCTCTTCCGTCGGGACCTCGACTTGGCCGATGTTGTTCGAGAAGGATTAGGTAGACCTGAGCAGGATCTTTGGTGCACTCGGGCCCTTGGCCCCGACCCTGGGGCCGACTGCCCTCCCCTGTCCGTGGCCGATTCCAGGCTTTGGCACCTTCGGCCCCCCTCGGGCCCTGGGCCTCGGCGTCGCATTGATGGGTCGGGTCTGGACCAAGGGAACCCGTTTTCGGCCAGAGCTGGCTGGGCTGCGGTTAAAATGCAAAAAGTAAGAGGCTCTGACGGCAGTGTCTTCGGGCCCCTTCCCCACCCCCTACGAAGGAATTGTTGTGGGGAGATTTACGCTCTCATCATGGCGATCCGACTTGCCGCCCCTGGCCTCCTTATCATAGACTCTGATTATCAAGCTGTCATCGACATTTGGACAGCTGGCCCCAACGCGGACCGCTCCCAAGTTGCTTTCGCCGAGTTGTGGGATGAAGTTTTTTCCCCACCATCCTGTGGTGTTGGGTCCTCGTTTTGAAGAGACGGTGCCCCGCGTCTCCTCTCATTCTCTCCTCCTCCTCCCCCTCCTCCCCCCCCCCCCCCCTTCCTTGCGTTTCACCCACCCAGTACAGCGCTTCGTGGCCCCATAGGGAGCTCCACCGAAGGCCCCCAGCGGCTCGGTTCGCATGGCGGCCTCGGGCCATTTCGGCACACCCCCCACGAGGATCGTGGCCCCATAGCGAGCTCCACCGAAGGCCCCAGTGGCTGCGTTCGCATGGCGGCCTCGGGCCATTTCGGAACACCCCTCACGAGGATCGTGGCCCCATAGAGAGAGCTCCACCGAAGGCCCCAGTGGCTGCGTTCGCATGGCGGCCTCGGGCCATTTCGGCACACCCCTCACGAGGATCGTGGCCACATAGGGAGCTCCACCGAAGGCCCCCAGTGGCTGCGTTCGCATGGCGGCCTCGGGCCATTTCGGCACACCCCTCTCGACGATCGTGGCCCCATAGGGAGCTCCACCGAAGGCCACCAGTGGCTGCGTTCGCATGGCGGCCTCGGGCAATTCCGGCACACCCCTCTCGACGATCGTGGCCCCATAGAGAGCTCCACCGAAGGCCCCAGTGACTGCGTTCGCATGGCGGCCTCGGGCCATTTCGGCACACTCCCCACGAGGATCGTGGCCCCATAGGGAGCTCCACCGAAGGCGCCCAGCGGCTGCGTTCGCATGGCGGCCTCGGGCCATTTCGGCACCCCTCACGAAGATCGTCGCCCCATAAGGAGCTCCACCGAAGGCCCCAGTGGCTGCGTTCGCATGGCGGCCTCCGGCCATTTCGGCACACCCCTCACGAGGATCGTGGCCCCATAGGGAGCTCCACCGAAGGCCCCAGTGGCTGCGTTCGCATGGCGGCCTCGGGCCATTCCGGCACACCCCCCACGAGGATCGTGGCCCCATAGGGAGCTCCACCGAAGGCCCCAGTGGCAGGGTTCGCAGGGCGGCCTCGGGCTATTTCGACACACCCCTCACGAGGACCGTGGCCCCATAGGGAGCTCCACCGAAGGCGCCGGTGGCAGGGTTCGCATGGCGGCCCCGGGCCATTGCGGCACATCCCTCACGAGGATCGTGGCCCCATAGTTGTGCTGCTTCAACCACCGCGCCTGGGCGTCGTACTCCGCCTTGTCGACGTGCAACGCCACCTCCTCCCTCATGGCTCTCAAGGCCTTCTCCTGCTTCTGCTCCTCGGTGAGAGGGACGCCGTCCTTGTCGTCGTCGGCGCCCGCGAAGACGGCCACGAACGTGTCCCTGAGCATGTCGGGCTCCGGCGGAAAGCCGTGGCCACATAGGGAGCGCGGGCCAAGATGGCATTCACAATTGCAGCATTTTCACAACAGCATATGGTTGGGTCCTTCGCCAGGCTAATTTTTCTGGCCTCCGACTTCGGGCTCGAGAATATCGAGCTCCGTAAAATCAATGCCCACCTCTCTTGGCAGGCGTGCTCCCGAACCTCCAATGCGCCGTTCTGGGCATGGTCTGGCCACACCCTCGCAGACAAGCTTGCGGAGCAGGGGGCTAAGGCACATGTTTCGAATCCTGATCTTGCGCGCAGGCGCAAAGATAGCCGCGATTCGATCCGTTCCGTTTGTAAACTCATCGGCGCCTTTGGTAAACATCTGTCTCATTTCAAGTTTCCCGACGTCCGGCGGGTTAAGAAGCCCCGCCGTCCGACGTTCAATGCCCTCCAGTTCGTCCCAGACCGTCAAGGCCACGTTCTGCAGCGAGTGGGCAAGTCTTCCAGAGCTTTCAGTTGCACCCGTTGTGGAGGTCGTGGTCTCTCTGAGCGTGCTGCGTGTGCTATGCCATGCACGGGCCTCCCACGATTGGCCCGCATGGCTGATAAGTCTCATCGGCTCTGGCTCATGGGCCCCTCCCTAGCGCGGTGCTCTATGCGTGCAGCCTTCGGGAGTTCGAGGCCCCGCTTGCTCGGAGGTCCCTGCCGAGGGAACCCCCGTAACAAGGACGGAGAGAAGACCCTGAGGCTGCTCAAGGAGGGGAAGGACCCATCCACCAACCGCGTGGTGGGCAGGAGCTTCCGCCTCACCATCTCCTAATTCACACCCCCTTTTTAACCCTGGGCGTCGTGTTTCATCTGGAGGCAGACGTTCCGCAGCTTGAAGGAGCTTGAAGGAGAAGGAGGAGAAGGAGTGCGGGAGGGGGGAGGGAGGAAAGGGTGAGGGCGAGGGGGAAACAGAGGATGGCAGGGATGAGGAAAAGGAGGAGAAGGAGGAGGAGGAGGAGGCGGAGGAGGAGAACGGGGACCTCTCGAACTTTCCGCCGATGGGTCCCCTGAACACCAGCACCGACCTACCTCCCAAATCAGTGACAAGGGAACCGCGTGCCACATTTTGGCGGCAACCCCTTTGCTGAGCATTTTTCCAATTAGCCCTCCCAGCGGCCGAGATGGCACGACAAATTTCCGCAAATTTCGCAGGACCCCTAACACTGACATCGGCGCAGTTCCCGCAACAAAGAACTCCCCTGTGCATGTTATTGCCCCAGAGAAAAGGGACTCATGACACTCCGCCAGGCACGGGCGGAGATTCAGAGCCCCACGCGGGCGCCCGTCCTCGGCAACAGCCCCAGCCGAGGGCTTAACTTCACCAACGAGACCCAACACCGAGGGCCCGAGGCACACCAAGGGACACGGTTGAACACGTCAATTCTTCAATGGAACCGCTTCTCGGGAGCGGCTAAGAGGGGGGTGTCCAAGAGGGGGGGGTGCAAATCATGACCGGCGGCATGTGCGCGGCCCAGCGGGGGGGCCAGGGACGTAATGAAATAAGAAGAGGCGCCATGAAATCTGGGGAAATATCATGGCCCACGCCATGATATCCACCCCCCCCTAGTCATCAACCCCCTCTTTTCCGCCCCCGAGCTTCGTCTGGGCTGCGACCAGCTGCCGAAGTCTCTGCCTACTGGTCCCTCGGCCGGTCCCACTGCTGCGCCGTGCGCGAATGGAGCGGCCAACGCGGCCCCCGCGCGCGCAGGGACAGATCGGCGCAGAAAAGCCGGCCGGCCGAAAGCAGCGACTGCATCACTTGAACGCAATCAAAGCCGACAGCTTCGTCGTCGGCGAGACATGTCCTGGGGCCCCCCCCCCGGCGAGCAGCCCCCCCAGGAAAAACGCCTGCCCATGCGTCTACCACCAGACAGCCAATATCGGGCCTGGTCTCCCTGAGCAGTCCGTCGGCCAAGTGAGATTCGACCCACTTACTCCGCACCTCTCGGGTTTTCTCCTCTAACACGCCCCGCGCAGTGTTCGCCGAGGGCCGCGAGGGCGCGCGCCAAGTCGCCGCGACGTATGCCGTCACCCATCGTGCATCTCAACAGCTGGCAGAGGCGCGGAGTTCGGCCGTCGGGGAACTTGAATGAGGCCCTGAAGCCATCCACGAGGATCTCGAGCGCCCGCCAGGAATGCTGGCCTCAGACGCACAACGGCCCACCCACGCCCAGGCGTCCTCCAACATTTAGCACGTCCCCCCCCCCAGATCCGTCAGCTTGGACAACAAAGCCCGCTCACTGGCTTCGGGGAAGACGCGCCCGTCGATCGCAGGGATCGAAAGCTTCACGCGCGGCACCCGGCGGCCTGGAGCGGAGGAGGAGCAGCGGCAGCGGGCGGCGGCGGGCTGCTGCGCATGCCTGGCGCAGCGGCTCCGAGGGCGGAGCGGGCCCGGCCGCGCTCCGCCGCGTTCGAAGGCAGCTGCAGCAGGGACATGGCCCTGAGAGAGCAGGATTGCCAGCGAGCCTGGCCATCGGCGCCCAGTGGCCAGAGGCTCGCTTGAGAGGAGGAGGCCATCTCAGCTGCGGCATTCGTCCCCGGCGCGGAGTCGCACGAGCGGGCCCGCGCCGTCTTTTCGGGGGGCGCCAGTGCAGCGGTAAGATTGAGGGCCCCACCACTGAGACGTCGAATCACATGCGTGATGGCGCGAGAGAAGCTCATCGAGGATCTGACTGTTCCTGGGATCGGGAGCCGGTTTCTCTTGGGCGGACAATGCTCGTCGCCCCCCCGCCGACTGAAACGGTTTGGACCTGGGGCGCGCATCTGGAAGCCTCGGAGACGGGGCGGCCGACTGCCGGGGGGCCACGGGGGGCGACGCCGAGCTCCAGAGCAGCGGCCACGACAGCGCCCACGAGCCCTCTGACAACTCTCCACACGGGGTGCCCAGCATCATTGAATCTCTTTATTGCGGGGCCCTAGACTTGCAAAACATCCACCTCGGTCCGAAGACCGAACTCACTCCAGAGCTCACTCCGTTCAAACAATCACCCACACCAAACTTTCGCCCGGGGCCATGTCCAGGAGCACTGCCGAGCGCGAGCACAGACGCGGCGCGACCCCCGCCCCCACGCGCCACATCATCTTCACAACGCGAACACAGCCACACTAAACACGGGACGGCAGGCAGCCTGGAACCCGACTAGACTGGGCGCCCCCTGCAGACACGGCGGGGCC